CAGGTCCATCATTTGTGTGGGTTGTAGTGGTCTGTGGAAGTTGGAGCCTAATCCCATAATCCGTGGACTTACTTACTTACTTAGGCGATCCCTCGTTGGCTGAGTAGGATAGTCTTCCAGGATCAGTATTCTGGTGGGTCCGTAAGTGACTGTGGAGCCCTATTGATCTGCATCTTCTCCCACAGTGAGGGCATTGGTTTCCAGGTGGAAGTCGGTCCTGGTCGGGGTTGGCTTGATGCACCTTCCTCTTGGCACGATTCTCTCTTTCACCCTCTATTCATGCCTCTTCAAATTCTGCAGCACTGCAGGTCACAGCTGACCTACAGCTGGAGTGCTCAAGGGCCAGGGCTTCCCAGTTCTCAGTGTCTATGCCAGAGTTTTTAAAGTTGGCTTGGAGCCCATCTTTCAATCTCTTTTCCTGCCCACCAACGTTCGGTTTTCCGTTCTTGAGTTTGGAGTAGAGCAACTGCTTTGGGAGATGGTAGTCGGGCATCCGGACGTGGCCAGTCCAGTGGAGTTGATGGCGGAGGACCATCGCTTCAATGCTGGTGGTCTTTGCTTCTTCCAGCACACTGACATTTGTCCGCCTGTCTTCCCAAGAGGATTTTCCGGGGCAATACTGATGGAATTGTTCCAGAAGTTGCATGTGACATCTGTAGACAGTACACGTCTCGCAGGCGTATAGCAGGGTTGGGAGGACAACAGCTTTATAAATAAGCACCTTGGTATCCCTACGGATGTACCGGTCCTCAAACATTCTTTGCTTCATTCGGAAAAATGCTGTCCCATCATCCATGGACTATCCTCCCCCAAATTGCACCGGGACTTACAGTAGGTCAAGGGGGGTCTGTGTGCCAAGGATGGTCCTGGTCCATCATTCGTGGGGGTTGCAGTGGTCTCTAGAAGTGAGTGAAGGTACTGCAAATCCCATCATCCATGGTAATTTTGGTCGAGATCCATCGTTGCTTGGATTCTCTGGAAGTAGGAGAACTACGACTTCTATAAATGAAGGTCAGTTCCCTCCAAACCTGGTAATTGGGGTTCTGTGTGCCAATTGTGGTCCAGGTCCATTGTTGGTAGGGGTCAGGGGGCTCTGTCTTGATGCAGCGCGAACTACAACTTCCAGCAAGTGAAGTCAGACCCCCAACCCCTACAGTATGTTTAGTTGCTGATCCATGGCTCTGTTTGCTGTGTGCCAAAGGAAAGGGTTAAAGGTGAGGCATTGGGTAGGGTCATGCAAATCGAGAGAGAAAGGAACACTGGGATGTGGTGCTCACTTCGCAGACACAGTCACTTTGATCCATTCTGGCCTGAACTCCTTGTTAACGGCAGTCTCTGTGGATGTAACACGAGCACCTGCTTATCTGATTTTGATGGATTCACTTCAGTTGGTGAAACCCGAGGATGTAGTGGTCTGTGGAAGTTGGAGCCTAATCCCATAATCCGTGGATTTACTTACTTACTTAGGCGATCCCAGTCCCAGCCAAAACCAAGGTTACAACATCTGTGATAGAACTTCAGTATGCTGATGACGTTGTCTGTGCGCATTCAGAAGAAGATCTGCAAGCCACTCTAAACACCTTTGCAGAAGCATACAAGAAGCTCGGCCTGTCATTGAACATTGAAAAAACCAAGGTGCTGCTCCAGCAGACACCAGCCAACCCCTCTCCAATGCCAGCGATACAGCTTAATGGTGTAACATTTGAAAATGTTGATCATTGGCAACTACCTTGGCAGCCACCTCGCCACCAAAGTCAACATCGACACCGAAATACAACACCACCTGAGCTCTGCGAGTGCAGCATTTTTCCAAATGAAGCAGAGAGTGTTTGAGGACCGGGACATCCGTATAGATACCAAGGTGCTTGTTTATAGAGCTATTGTCCTCCCAACCCTGCTATATGCCTGTGAAACGTGGGCTTTCTACAGACGTCACATGGAACTCCTGGAACGATTCCATCAGCACTGCCTCCGGAAAATCCTGCAAATTTCTTGGGAAGACAGGCGGACAAACGTCAGCATGCTGGAAGAAGCAAAGATCACCAGCATTGAAGCGATGGTCCTCTGCCATCAACTCCGCTGGACTGGCCACATTGTCCAGATGCCTGACCACCGTCTCCCAAAGCAGTTGCTCTACTCCGAACTCAAGAACGGAAAACGGAATGTTGGTGGACAGGAAAAGAGATTGAAAGATGGGCTCAAAGCCAACCTTAAAAACTCTGGCATAGACACTGAGAACTGGGAAGCCCTGGCCCTTGAGCGCCCCAGCTGGAGGTCAGCTGTGACCAGCAGTGCTGCAGAATTTGAAGAGGCACGAATGGAGGGCGAAAGGGAGAAACGTGCCATTTATTTATTTATCGTGTCATCCGCAACCAGAATATTGTATTACATTTCTAACAGAACAAAACAAACAAACAGATAAAAAAAACAAAACAAATTTTGCAAACTTGGTAGCTGATTAAATGTCCTTTGAGCAGTATCTGGCCACTTGGAGTGCCTCTGGTGTTGCTGCAAAAAAGGTTCTCCATCGTGCATGTGGCAGGGCTCAGGTTGCATTGCAGCAGGTGGTCAGTGGTTTGCTCTTCTCCACACTCGCATGTCGTGGATTCCACTTTGTAGCCCCATTTCTGAAGGGTGGCTCTGCATCTCGTGGTGCCAGAGCGCAGTCTGTTCAGCGCCTTCCTCGTGTGCCCAGGAGGGAGTCTCTCATCTGGTATTGATATCGAGCTGCTTTTGTGGAGGGTCTTCCCAGTAAGGGAGATCCCTGAGGACCGCGCCAAAAGGGTCCTTAAAAACCTTGGTGAAGCCAGGCGAAACCAATTTCAGCGATTAAAAATATTAAAAATAATAATACTTCACCAAAGTGGAAGAAGTTCCAAGCAATCGAGGTGTTTTATTAGCGATTCAGCTGAGATCGGATGCATTGCAGGGATCATTCCACCACAAGCATAAAGCTAGGCATGTTACAAGCATTTTTATAAATGAAAATTCAAAGGAAAAGGTTTCAAAATTCCCGCCCGCCCCCTTGCCGGCCGGCTTTTTTTCTGATTGGCTGATGGCCGAACAGCTGGGAGGAGGCTTCGCAGCCCGTCCCGCTTCCGAGCCAATCAGCGTGCTTCTCCGCCTCTAGAGGGCCAATCATCGCATTCCTCTCGCTCCTAGAAATGGACGAATCAGGAGAGGGGAGGCGGGACAATCTCAAAACAATGAGGAAATGATGGGATTACAGATAGCTGGCCGGCCGGAATATGAAGTATTGTCCTTGGCTGGCAGAATGTGAGGGTAGCAAACAAAGATTTCCTGTTCCTGATGGGCTTTTGGGGGGAGAATCAACAAGATCGGGCTTCGGACCTCAAAGGATCAACGTTGCCCTTTGCGATTTCTTAATTATTTTCTTTTCCAAAATCCCATGGAATTCCTTATCTCGCTAGCCGGCTCGGAAGACGAGACAAGGGTTGGTGACTATTGTGTTGTGTAGGTGAATCAATCAACAATCTGGGTTTCGAGGGAGATAGGAATCTTCCTCGAGCCTAGCAGCAGTTTCTGATCACTTTTGTGGGGCAAAAGTCAAAAGGAAAGATGGAAAACAGAATACAATTCATACAGCATTATTTTAGACAGGATCATACAAAAAGAATCCCCTTACCACCCCACATCTTCATTTTTATTAAAATGTCGAGCTTTTATTTAAAAGAGAAAAAAAGGAAACTAGAAATCCCATGCCCCGGCAGAAGGTTCGTGGAAACGGGGGCGGCAAGTGGCCAAAATCATGCAGCAAAGAGTCCCTTTTTAACAGGCAGAAGCCAACAGATGGGTGCTGAGTTGAAAAGAGCACCAAAGTCCATCACTCGGTCCTTGGAAACTACAGCTCCCGCAAAGGGCAGAAGTCCCAAGATCCAGCCATTTCCCAAAAAGCCTTGTGGGGTCCTTGTTGTTGTTAGTGCCTTGGCAATGTGACCAAGACTTAACCCTTGTTGTGTAGTCTGGTGCCCTTGCCCTTTGCAGAACTATGTCACTATCCCTTATTTGGGGGGGGGGGGGGGGGTGCGCTTGACATCAGTATCACCCACGGATTGAGGTGCCGGGTTTGAGCCTGCCACTTTTGAACTCTCGCTTGCTGAGGTGTTCCAGCGAGTGTCTCTGTAGATCTTAGAAAACTATTTCTTGATTTAAGTCGTTGACATGCTGGCTGATACCCAAAGAAGGGATGAGCTGGAGATGTCTCTGCCTTGGTCGTTTCACTCTTGGCTGCTACTTCCCGGCGGATGTCAGGTGGTGCAATACCGGCTAAGCAGTGCAATTTCTACAGTGGTGTGGGGCGCAGACACCCCGTGATAATGTGGCATGTCTCATTAAGAGCCACATCCACTGTTTTAGCGTGGTGAGATGTGTTCCACACTGGGCATGCAAGGGCAGATGTCTTCACTGTGTCTGGTTGTGATCCCCAGGTTGTGCCAGTCAGCTTTCGTATGATATTGTTTCTAGCACCCACTTTTTGCTTGATGTTCAGGCAGTGCTTCTTGTAGGTCAGAGCACGGTCCAGAGTGACTCCCAGGTATTTGGGTGTGCTGCAATGCTCCAGTGGGATTCCTTCCCACAGAAATAGATGTTTTTCTGAAACTCCTTGCCTTTCTCCATTATCCAGCATTTGGATACTGACAATTTGCCCTCTGGTTCCTCTGCCTTTTCTAAACCCAGCTTGTGCATCTGGCCACTCTCTCTCCAAGTCTGGCTGGAGTCTTCCTTGCAGAGTTTCATCCTGGCCCAAAATGGCGCCTGTGCCATTACAGGAGAACAGCTTCGCCTGGATGTAAACACAGGAACTTCCGCTTTTCGAACTTCCGGCAGAGAATGAGGAAAGAAGCGTCCTCTTCTCCCCGCCCCCTAGTGGCGAAAGCGTGAAATCAACAGAAGGAAAAAAACGCGAGCCTTCTCGGGATTGGTCGACTGCCTCAGCCAATGGGAGCCAAGCTTTCCGTTTCAGTCCTCGAAGCCAAGCGCGGCGAGAGGGCGGTTTGCGCCTGCGCAGTGCCACCCTCCTGCTTGGTCCCCCTTTCCAACGGCCCATTGGGACTGGGATGGCGGGGGCCCGAGAGGTGGTGACGCTCCAGCTGGGGCCCTACGCGGGCTGCGTGGGTGCCCATTGGTGGGGACTGCAGGTGAAAGGCCAGGGCCCGGGAAAGGCCAGGGTTCGAATCTGAAGGGTGTTAAAACTGAGGCTGAGTGGCCATCTGTCAGGAGGGCTTTGATGGTGTTCCTGCCTGGCGGAATGGGGTTGGGCTGGATGTCCCATCTGGTCTCTCCCTACTCTAGAATTCTGTAATCACCTCTGATAGTACTCGTGATGCAGTCTCCTTCTCTGGAGGCATTTAAGCAGAGGCAGGATGGCCATCTGTCAGGAGGGCTTTGATGGTGCCTTCCTTTACATTGAATTGGGTTGCATCTGATGGCCTTTGGGTTCCCTTCCTTAGGATTCTATTTAGTAATAGTAATGGCAATGGAGTCTCCTCTGGAGGCTTTTAAGCAGAATGGCCATCTGTCAAGAGGGCTTTGATGGTACCTTCCTTTACATCGAATTGGGTTGCATCTGATGGCCTTTGGGTTCCCTTCCTTAGGATTCTAGTAATAGTAATCTTTGATAGTAATGTCGATAGAGTCTCCTTCTCTGGAGGTATTTAAACAGAGGCAGGATGGCCATCTGTCAAGAGGGCTTTGATGATGCCTTCCTTTACACTGAACTGGGTTGCGTCTGATGCCCTTTGGATTCCCTTAGGATTCTATTTAGTAATAGTAATCTTAGATAGTAATGACAATGGAGTCTCCTTCTCTGGAGGCATTTAAGCAGAGGCAGGATGGCCATCTGTCAAGAGGGCTTTGATGGTGCCTCCCCTTACATTGAATTGAGTTGCATCTGATGGCTTTTGGGTTCCCTTCATCCCTTTGGATTTTATTTAACTATAGTAATCTTTGATAGCAATGACGATGGAGTCTCCTTCTCTGGAGGCTTATAAGCAGAATGGCCATCTGTCAGGAGGGCTTTTGACGTTGCCTTCCTTTCTGGCAGAATTGAGTTGCATCTGATGGCCTTTGGGTTCCCTTCCTTAGGATTCTATTTAGTAATAGTAATCTTTGATAGGAATAATGATGGAGTCGTGCCTGGTGGGAACGAGAGACGGGGCCTTCTCTGTGGTGGCCCCCCGGCTATGGAACTCTCTCCCGAATGAGGTTAGGTCTTCCTAATCTTCAGGAAGTAATTGACATCCTGGTTTCGGAATCAGGCATTCGCAGAGTGACGGCTGACACCAGTAAAGACTAAGCATTATTGGACCACAATGTTTGGATTGAGTTGGATGATGTCTTTAACTTTGCGAATGGTTTTATATGTATTTGAATTTATATGTATTTTTAACCTATTGTATTATGTATGTTGTTTTAAAATGTTCTTTATTGTCCTGCATTGAATTTTTGCTGTTAGCCGTTCTGAGTCCCTCCACATGGAGATTCATCTCTGGGGATGGCCATCTGTTGGGAGGGCTTTGATGGCATCCACCATTATGGCTGAACTGGGTTGGACTGGATAGTCCTTTCCAAGGATTCTTTGAAGTGTTCAGTTGCTTAAATAGCCAGATTATTAGCTGTATATGAAGCCTTTGCGTCCTCCTCTCCCTTCCTCAGGAATCTTCATACATCTCTGATTCCGCGACTGCAAGATCCGACGAGACCCTTCACCACAATGTGCTCTTCCGGCCGGGAAGATCCTCCCAAGGGCAGGAGACGTACACCCCCCGCCTCATCCTCATGGACCTCAAAGGTTGGCCTTCTGCTTCTGGTTTGAAAGTGTGATTTCCTGTTTAATTGTGCAGTCCTTGCTTTGAAAGTAGTTGCCATACTCCACAAACTTTGTTTTTGTGGCTGCCGCAAACTAGATTGAATTGGTTGAGGCTCGATGAGAGATCCATTGAAAAACTAGAGCAAAATCTGCTGCAGGATCTTCCCTTTCTTGTTTCTTTCCTTCCTTCCATTCTCTTGCTTCCTTTCCTCCCCTTAGACCAGTGTTTCTCAACCCTGGGGGTCATGGGGGAGTGTCAGAGGGGTCGCCGAAAACAATTAGAAAACACAGTATTTTCTGTTTATCATGGGGCCAGGAGAGCTTTTTCACAATTAAAACTTGTGCGCTAGCTGTGCCCGTACCTTGGGAAGTCTGACTTGGCCACGGTAGTCCACACTCTGGTTACATCCCGTATAGACTACTGCAACGCTCTCTACGTGGGGTTGCCTTTGAAGACTGTTCGGAAGCTCCAAATGGTCCAACGGGCGGCAGCCAGGTTACTAACAGGAGTGGCACTCAGGAAGCACACAACTCCTTTGTTGCGCCGGCTCCACTGGCTGCTAGTCTGCTACTGAACACAATTCAAAGTGCTGGGTTTAGCCTATAAAACCCTAACCATGGGTCCTCAAACTAAGGCCCAGGGGCCGGATGCAGCCCTCCAAGGTCATTTACCCGGCCCTCACTCAGGGTCAACCTAAGTCTGTAACGACTTGAAAGCACACAACAACAACAACAACAACAACAATCCTATCTCATCAGCCAAAAGCAGGCCCACACTTCCCATTGAAATACTAATAAATTTAAATTTGTTAAAATTGTTCTTCATTTTAATTACTGTATTGTTTTCAAGTTTTTTTGCACTACAAATAAGCTATGTGCAGTGTGCATTACAAATTATAATCCGGCCCGCCAACAGTTTGAGGGACTGTAGCCTGGTCCTCTGTTTAAAAAGTTTGAGGACGCCTGCCCTAGACGGTTCTGGCCCTGCTTATCTGTCCGAACGTATCTCTCCTTATGAACCATCCAGGAATTTAAGATCTTCTGGAGAGGCCCTGCTCTCAGTCCTGCCTTCTTCACAGGTTTGGTTGGCCGGGGACGAGAGGTAGGGCCTTTTCAGTGGTGGCCCCTCGGCTATGGAACGCCCTCCTCAGATCGACTCCCACTCCCCTAACATTTCGAAATAATTCAAAACCTGGCTTTGTGAGCAGGCTTTCTCAAATGCAATGTAGTAAATAATTACTTGACCTTGGAACGGCTGGACAATTGCAATTGGATAAAGATGCTGGAAATTAGATATGGAGGATTTATGTTTTATTGATTTTATTGTTTATGGAATTTTATGGATGCTTATATGCTTTTAACTGTTTATATTACTGTGGTATCAAATTGTGCCGGTTTCGTAAACCGCCCTGAGTCGCTCTCGGGCTGAGAAGGGCGGTGTAGAAATATAGTAAATAGAATAATAAATAAATATTAGGGCTGTCCAACCACGGAAAAATTTGTTTCTAAAATCGATTCGTTTTTTGGGGGTTTTTGCGTTTCGATTTTTAAAAGAATTCCAAATTTTTTCTTTTAAAAAGTTCGATATTTACGAAATTTCGTAAATTACAAAACAATACGAAACAATTACGAATCGATTCGTTAATGGCGGACGCGACCGCGCAATACGCTAAAAAACCTCCAAATGGGACAGGGGGAACTTCTGAAGCTTCCCTCTCCCTCTGTTGTTGACTGTTGGTGTGATATTTATAATTTTTTTCACTGATTAAACAAACAACAACTATAAAACTTGCCCCAGACATGCGGAAATAATAACGAAACGATTTCAAAACGATAACGAATACATAACGAATTCGAAACAATTACGAAACGAATTTAAAAATTCGTTTCGTTTTTTAGTTGCTCCTGAATGGTTCGTTATCGCTTCGTTATAAAAAAAAAATAATGAATTTTTAACGAATTACGAAATTACGAAACGAAACTGCCCAGCCCTAATAAATATCATTGGTGAGGTTCAGAATGCTCTTCGATTGTAGGTGAACTATAAATCCTAGCAACTACAACTCCCAAAGGTCAAGCTCTAATTTCCCCAAACTCCACCAGTGTTCACATTTGGACATACTGAGGATCAGTGCCAAGTTTGGTCCAGATACATCATTGTTTGAGTCCACAGTTCTCTCTGGATGTAAGTGAACTACAACTCCAAAAATCAAGGTCAATGCCCACCAAACCCTTCCACTATTTTCTGTTGGTATTGGGAGTTCTGTGTACCAAGTTTGGTTCAATTCCATCATTGGTGGAGTTCAGAATGCTCTTTGATTGTAGGTGAACTATAAATCCCAGCAACTACAACGCCCAAATGACAAAATCAATCCCCTCGCTCAGTCTCACCAGTATTCAAATTTGGGCATATGGGGTATTTGTGCCAAATTTGGTCCAGTTAATGAAAATACATCCTGCATATCAGATATTTACATGACGATTCATAACAGTAGCAAAAATACAGTTATGAAGTAGCAACGGAAATAATGTTATGGTTGGGGGTCACCACGATATGAGGAATTGTGTTAAGGGGTTGCTGCGTTCAGAAGGCTGGGAAACGCTACCTTAGACCCCTTCCCTTTCATTTCTCTTCCCTCTTTCCATCCCTCCCTCCTTTCCTTTTCTTTCCCCTTCCTTCCTTCCTTCCTTCCTTCCTTCTTTCTGTCTCCTTCCTTCCTATTAGACAAATGTCATCTAGTCACAACGTATCTGCTTCATTCAGTTTCTTTTACAGTCACATCACAGAGGACCACTTCACCTGTCCACAGTTAATCCATTTCGTTCCTTTTTCTTTCTCCAAGCCCAAAAGGGGTGTTGCTTTATAGTTCAAATCCCTCTATTCTTTCCGTTTGGATAATGAAGGGTCTGTGTGCCAGGTATGGTCCAGATCCATCAAGCCTAAAGATCGGCAATTCGAATCCTGGGAGCGGGGTGAGCTCCTGCTGTCAGCCCCAGCTTCCACCGACCTAGCATTTTGAAAACATGCAAATGTGAAAAGATCATTTATTACTATCAAAGGTTACTATTACTAAATAGAATCCTAAGGAACCCACATTCTATAATCAAATATTGGGAGACCCCCCCCCCCCAATCATGCAATCCCTCCCAACAGATGGCCAACAAGCTTCT